AATATTTCAAAATTATTTTTCGAATCATAAATTTTTTATGATTAACAATGTATTTATATTTTTGGTTTTTTTTGGTTTTAAACCCTTTTTTCTTTCAACACGAGGTATCTTTTTTCTAGTTTCTATTGTTATAGCCATAACTCCCTCTCTATTTTTATCAATCAATCAATCAATCAATTTTATATTTTTTTTCGGCATTTTTCCTAATTACAAGTAGAGCTTTATAAAACTTTTATAACACCAAATGTTTATCAAGCTTGGGATTTTATGTTATCCGGGCAGGCTTATTAATTTAGCCAGAGAATATGTTTTATGTATTTTGGAATGAATTTCCGTCATCCCTTGTGAAATTTGGTTTGGAGACAAACCGGTTTCGGCGTTGTACCATCTTCAGTGTAATTTTTCGTTATCCGAAGGGATGACGGAAATTCGTTCCAAAATATATTATACACCCACCCTGTCGGAAACAACAACAACCAAAAAGGGAATATGTTTTCTTTATTAAGTTTACCCAGTTACTCATTTTAAACTGCTACCTGTACTGTATCAGCGGTTAAAACTTGTTAAATTTTTATTTAAAATTGATAGCAAAATAAAGACGCAGCAGATATTGTGGACAGATCCAAGTTGTCAGCAAGAAGAAAGATATATGTGTATATTTCCGTCTTTATCACGCTTCACAGTAAACACCCATTTACTGCCGATCGCCTCTTGCCCCTTTGGTAAATCTGCAAGCTCCCAAGTACGGGTTTTTATTAGTGCGTCGTACTCCTTCTGCATCGCTATTCTCCACTCTTCTGCATTTGACCCACTTGAGGCTTCTTCTACACTTACAGGCACCGCGACCGGTTTTTCGACCATTGCATTCACTTCGTTATATACTTTCCTTGGGCGACCTACTGCACCTGTTCTCAAAATTCTAGGTCGACCGGGACCCACTTTCTTTTCTTCTAAGCCTGCTGCCTGTTTGAACTGCGGACTCCTGTTGAGTTTGACCCTCATCCGAATTCGCGCTTTCTTCTGTCTTGCTACGTAGGCTGTTGATTACATCAGCGTGCAGATTTTGGATTTGACCCTCGTCCAAATCTACACTTTCACCGACAGACTCGTTGCTCTCTGGAGTCAGCTCTTCATTACCATTGAGTATCATAATATCAGGCTGATCAACATCACTACACATTTCCTTTTCAAAAAATATAACATCACGGCTGATGATTACTCGCTTCATTTCAGAACTATATAGTCGATAACCCTTCGTTTCGTCACTGTAACCAATCATAATACACTCGTGGCCTTTAGGACGGAATTTTTTTGATTGCGTTTTATCAAGCACTATCGCTTTTGCTCCGAAAGTTTTAAAATGTGCCACTGCAGGCTTTATGCCATACCACTCTTCATACGGTGTAGTGTTTACCAATGCCTTCGTTGCTGACCTGTTGCGAATATAAGCGGCTGTTTTTACAGCCTCAGCCCAAAATCGTTCATTAAGGTTGGCATGCACTAGCATACTTCGCGCCATTTCCACTAACGTCCTGTTTGCCCTCTCGGCGACACCATTTTGTTGGGGAGTGTAGGGAGCAGTTAATTGCCGTTTAATGCCATTTTCTCTTAAAAAGTTTTGGAACGCATTATTCACATACTCCCGTCCATTGTCGCTTCTAATGCATTTAATTCTTCTCCCAGTTTGTTTTTCGCACATAGTTCTAAAATCTTTGAACGCCTCCAGAACACAATCTTTTGTCTTCAAAAAATATACCGACATATATCTTGATTTGTCGTCGATAAAGGTCGGGAAATACCTTGCACCGCCTACCGAAGTGGTGTTAATCGGGCCACATAAGTCACTGTGTTTGACCTCTAAAAGTTCCTTCGATCGATTTTCGCCAGCTTGTTTAAATGGTTTGACAGTAATTTTACTTTTTGCGCATGTACTACATTCGATATCAGCTTTTCGATCGACTTTTAAACCTCGCACAATACTCTGCGCAGCCATGTCCTTTAAGCAATTAAAATGGAGATGCCCGAATCGATTGTGCCATTTTATGGCTTCTTGGTCAGACGTGATTGCACTGAACCACTTGTTTTCAGGACTTTCGAAAATGAACAAACCATTTCTGTTATGGGCCTTAAGTAGTACACGCTTTTGCTTATTTTTTATTGCCACCGAGTTATCGCTAAACATTACTGAGTAACCGGACTCAATCGCTTTACTGACAGAAATTAAGTTATTTTGCAGCTCTTTGATATGCAATACATTTCTTAGTTTTATGCCCGTTCCTTCTAAATAAACATCGCCGCGCCCAACGGCCTCAATAGATTTATTACCGGGTAGCATTATTTGTTCTTTACATTTGACGTATGCTTTAAACATACTTCTCTCACAACACAAGTGTGAAGTCGCGCCGCTATCAATGCACCAAGATTGACGACTTAAGCTCGTACCTGCATTTTTATTTTCCAGTGTCATCAGATACGTTTCATTCTCTTCTCTTTTTTCTTTGACTTACAGTTAGCTGCAAAGTGCCCACGTAAACCGCAAATGTAGCATTTTTTGCTGCTGGTATTGTTGGACTTCCAATGGTGATTTTGTCTACCCTTCTCACCTTTGTTATTCGTACGCGCCTGAAGAAGTTGTTCTGCTGGATTTGTGTCTAATCGGTTACTTTCTTGTTGTCGAGCACCCTCCTCAAGTAATTTTATTTTTAATGTTTCTAGGGCAGGTAATACATCGCGCGCTTCGATTGCAATAACGAAATTTTCATAGCTTTGAGGAAGGCTTGACAACAATATTATAACCAGTATTTGTTCGTCAATTGAAACGTCAATTTGCGCCAAACTTTCGACGAACTCAGTAAAGCGGTTGATATGATCACGCATCTTGTCGCTGTCCGACTTACGGAGCTGGAGTAATCCTTTAAAGAACATTATTTTTCTTGCCGGCCCTTTAGGTTGGTGAACTTCCCTTAGTTTTTTCCACGCCTGGATTGAAGTTTTACATGACTTTAGATGATTAACTTGACTAGGTTTCAAGCAAAGCAAAATTGACGCCAAAGCCTTTTCATCTTTCGTTTCGTATTCTAGTGCCTGAACCGATGAGCCATCCTCCGGCTTTACGCACTTGCCACTGACTATGTGCCATAAATCACAATGAATTAGAACACTCTTCGTTTGTATGCTCCATGACGAATAATTGGAGTCATCCAGCTTCTCAATCTGCATAATCGAATTCATGGTCATTACTTAATACTCAATTTTTACCAAATTCGTTGGAGCCTCACACTGGGCCCATAACCCTGATAGCAAAATAAAGACGCAGCAGATATTGTGGACAGATCCAAGTTGTCAGCAAGAAGAAAGATATAATTTATTGAAGTGACTTATATACACAGATTAGGCAGGAAAAATGAGATGATTCCAAAATGCTTTAGATAAATGTTTAGTACATATTATGGTGTTGCCACATAATTCAACAAAAATTTTCGGTAAGGAATAAGCGAGTGGATGAAAAATATATAAACCGTAAGAACGGCCCATATATATGTGTATGAAAGAATACTCACATGCGACGGCTCTAGCCATTGTGTGTCACTCCTTTAAATTATAGTTACTTTTTTATTATTGTATTAAAAAAATAACGTTCGTAACACTTTAGTAAATATTAATCCGTATATTAACTGAGTATATATTAAAGACTAGAAGATGACCCGGTGAACTTCATATCATCTATAATTTATTTGAATTTAACTTTGATCAATTATAACAAATCTTCAAAATGCAATACAATGAGATCACTAATACTGCCTGCTGTTATAGCTGATAAAAGATTCCACACCTATAAGATGTGCCACGCCCCTTTTTACAAACTCATTTATATACATATATCTTTCCATAAGCACCTACCATAGGTATCTGTGCACTTCAAATTTCGAGTTCATGTGACTATAATTCCGAAGTTAGAGCTGATTAAAAATTTTCATTATGGGAGGTATCCCTCATCCCCCTCGCCCCCTTGGCGAGTTTCAATTTTTGTACCCTATTATAGGTCCAGGAGTCATGGCAATACACTGACAAAATTTTATTCGATTCTGTACATCCGTTCATGCTGCAACCTGGTACATACATACATACCTACTTCCACAAATATATAGTAGATTTGCTTTGAAGCGCCATCTTGCGGTTCTTTAAATAAAAAATAGATATCAGAAATGAATTTTTCGTATCACAAAACTCCCGAGCACAACTCTTTACTACAAAAAAAAAACATTCCTAACACTTTAGTAAATATTAATCTGATTATGGACTCAGTATTAATTAAAAATAATTTCTTTTAAAATTGCGCAGGCTCGAAATTGATTTTAGAGCTATGGTCTAAAGGGCTTTTTTTCTTAGAATTTTATGTAGAATCCGCATCTGCTAGGAACGATGGCGAAAAAAAAAATTGACCCGCCCTAATATATATACTATATATAAATAAATATATATATATATATATATATACAAGAATTGCTCGTTTAATGTAATAAAATATGGACAATATACTACTTCTATAGTAAAATATAAAAATTTCATGAGCAGCCTCTAAATTTATACTTAGAAACTTAAAGTTTGGTGCAGGACCTCTTTCGGCAAGAGGACAAATTTTCTAATGTACATACATACAATAATCATTTTGTAACGAAAAAAAACAAAATCATAACTTTACCCCATATGATTTGCTTTTACACCACTGTAGCTCAAATTGCTCTGCGCTCACCAACACAATCTCACTTTCAGTTTTGCCGAGCACTGCTCTAAATGCATGCGCAAGGTATCGTAATTAAAAAAGGAGTTTCGCACATTCGATAGTTTGATATGGTAGCGACGATGTAATAACAAAGTCATATGGCTAATGTACTAATTTTTCATTTCTATGTAAGAATGCAGTTTTATAGAATTTGATTTTATTTGTTCCAAAAATGTGTCTTTCTCAAATAATCTTCTAATGTGCCTCTTATGCTAAATTTCAGATAACAATCGACGAAATACGTAATGCTAATTTTGCCACAGCTAGCGATGAATTGAAATCAACAAACTTGTTAAGGAATTATCCGTTCGACCCCAGGCTCCTACTCTTCGGATACACAACAGAAACGATTAACATGCTTCTTGTGCCCATGTTCAATGACAAGTAAATACTATATCATTCTTTTGTTAGTGCTCTAAAATTCATCCTTTAAATATATCCGTTTAAAACTTATATGAAGCGGTAATCGAAGAGCTCTACATATCGTTACCTTAATATAAAAAGGCCTTCACTCGTTTTCTTTTCAAATTCAGCTCTGTGAAAAAGTCGGTAGATTACTCACTAATAATGGAAATAGCGTCAACAATGCTTAAAGTATGTCGATTCTAAGAAAAATGTTGTTCTTGCATCGTACGTGAGATATGTTGTTTATAATAAATATTGCCCCGTAAGTGTTGTTTCCTCCCATAGATGAAAGGGGATATTGCCAAATCCTCAGTCTGCTGTTAGTCATCAACACACAATCATTAACCACCACCAATTGATTTTATTAAAAATTTAAAATTACGAATATAATAAAAACACGATGCGGAAACCAAACGCAAAAAGAGCTAAAAAATATTTAAAGAAAAAATATAGAAATTATCCAGAACTTGCAAAACATGCCCCGTTTCCACAATAATGAGGCGAACACTATTAAAACGAAGAAACAGTGGATTGCCGCCATGTCCAAAAAAAAACCCGGAAGAACACTGAAAGAATTGTGTTTTTAAATTACCATATTTTGAACGAATTCGGAAGTCGAAGGTTGAAAAAAAGAAACCCTTCTATAAGAAAACAATTATAGAAAATAATTTACTTACACTGTATTCATGTCGCTGCCAACAATTTGTGACATCATTAAAAAGCAGCTAAGGAGAACGACAACACTATGTATTAGATGACACATTCAAATCAGTGTGCCAAAATGCGGGAATAAACAATTATTGAGCGTGGCGGGTCGCGACGTGGTGTTCGCACCAGTATGCGAAATAGTGTCAATTGACCTTATTTCCGTTGATTTTGTTACGTGTCACCGTAAAAAATTATAACTACTCTGTACAGAACAGAACTGTTAGATAGTCCTTTCTATATTAATCCGTTTCAGTAAATGAATATGAAAGAAACAAAGTTTATTGTTTGCCAGTTTTATTTGAGAAAAAATTTAGTGTGTACAATTTTTTAAGCATCCTCTAAAAACAGCTAAATCACGTAACTCTCTTATTCTTATTCTTATGTCGCCGAAAAGGTCTCGCTTAGGACTATAATTGGCCCTTAAAAAGTTTTGTCCTGAAAAACCCGTTTAATTTATACCTTCATTAATTTTGGAAGTACCTACTATCAGTAGTTTGTTATTTTTATTGTATAAATCTAAATCAGAAAGTGAGATGAGTGTACTACGCTCTCGCCTATGGGAGAGAACGCAGTCCAAAAGTCAAACAACAGCTGCTCAATCGATGCAAATGCATAAACAATTCTCGCCTCTCATACGGAATGCAGTGAGAAGTGAAACTTGTGTTAATAAAGTGTGAAGGCGCTTGCCCATCAATGGCCATGCAATATTAATGTGAAATCACCCAGCACCACAGCAGCGACAATAACCGTCCTGCCCGCTCGATAGTAACGACGACAGCTGCATGATACAATTACACTGTGGAACAAATTCAGGTTAGCAAAAGTTAGGTCGATTCTGAGAGTGAGGGGTGAAAATAGAGGCTAAATTAGAAGACCCGTATCGCGGCGTTTGTTTATGTTAGTTCGAACTTTTGTTTAATCGACCTTCGAACTTTGCAGTCAAATGCCGATTTTCAGCATATTGTTTATATGGTTTTTTGGCTATAACTCGTCGACTAATTGATATTTTTTCAATCTGTTAAAGCCAAATTATTGCTAGAGACCTGTGCAACAATTACAATTAAAAAAAAATTGATTTAGAAAATGTTTGTAGTGCTTATGAAGCAAAATGTTGGACATTTTTTTTCATGCTTTTTGAACATATTTTCCACAAAACTAAGTCTTTTTTGCTTTCTGTTTGATGTATATTATGCTTCTCAGTTTCTTCAATAAATTTCATTTGAAAAGAAAACAATCATAATACAAAACTTGCGTTTTCCAGCTTAATATTAATTTACTTCTCATTTCTTATGTACCAATTTTTTCAGTGTTGGTTTTGAAGAAACATTGAAAAAGAAATTATAAAAATATGGAAAAAAATATAATTTTGAAATGTTAGTTATGAAAAGTTTTAAGTAAAAAAATTAAATAAATTAAATTAATGATCACTGCTCTCTCTAATATCTTGGTCATCGTCATCATCATCAGAAAGGTCGATAATTTCGTCCAACAGATATTCTGGAATTTCATCTTTGTCTTCCCTTTCTTCCTCTTTTTCCTCGTCTTCCTCTTCTTTAAAGATGTTTTTATACCACCAACAAATTTCAGCGAGTATTGAATCTGGAGATTTCCTTCCTCTGTACCTGAAGCGAAAATAGTTTTCAATCGTTAACATGTTTAAATTGTGCACTCTGACAAAGATATTAGAAAAATCTAGGAATTCAAAATATGCACACTCTATAGTTAACTTATTTCAAATGGAAGCGCAGTTTGGTGATAACGTTCGCCTTGCTCATCAGATTCAGTTGGCAACTGTTGAGCGAGTTGATCAAGATGCTGATGCAAGAGATGAATTTTGTACGACATATTAACCCCAATTTCATCGAAAGCTGCCAACATGTTTGCAACAGATTGCCTGTAGTTGTCTTTGCGTTCTTTACCCGAAAGTCCTTTAATGACTGCTTTCAATGCGAGCCATGCATTTAATTCTCGGTCTGTCAGAACTTGGTCAAAATCTTGACTACTCATTAGTTTCCGTATGTCGGGACCGTTAACAACCCCTTCCTGAATTTTGGCGTTACTTAGTCTTGGGAAAATGTTTTTTAAGCGGTTGAATACTGCTGGTCTTTTTGCGATACATTTCAAAAAATTTTTAACAATGCCAAGTTTAATGTGGAGCAACGGCAACAAAATTTTCATTTCAGGAACAAGACTTTCATGTAGCCTATTGTCTTTAGGCCATTTCCGTCCAATGCGACTATTCCAGTTATGCTGTTTGTACTGGTTTCTTCCTTTAATACCTTCTCCGTATCGTGAATCCCAATCGCACAAAAAACACGGATATTTTGCACGGCCAGATGCTGTTAAGCCTGTAATCAATGAAACTATTTTGAGGTCCCAGCAAATGCGCCACTGGTGTTCGTCATATTTGACTACTTCCAGAATGTATTTAGTTATTCGTCAACCCTTGCAGACGTGTTTTTCTCAAGCTCGCGGTTATCTTATTACTTAAATTTTTACATTGTGCGATAGTGACACGATTAGCTCTGATCGTCTCGCTTGGACACTTTTAATACTTTATTATTATCATGCCGTGTGGATGTGGTCAAAAAGTTGACCGTAACCATCAACAAAAAATTCAATGTGTCAAGTGCAGTGTAATTTTTCATCTAAAATGTGAAAATCTCCTACCGGCTGATATTGAATACATGCAAAAGTCGAACAAGCAATATTGTTGTAAAAAATGCACAAAAGCGCGCCGAAATTCTATTCCCGCATCTCCTCCTCGCTCAACTACTCCGTCCAAAGATGTTGTCTCGGCTACCAACAACTCCGCTAATTCAGCGACCGCAAATAACTCTCCGCTGCCAGCTACTTCGGTCGCCGAGGGAGCCCATATTTTAACCGATTGCAACAAAGAAATAACTTTGCAGGCTGTTCTCAACGAACTTCGATCTCTTAGATCTGACCATGCAAAGCGAAAAGAAATTGTTGATAAAAAAGTTGAAGATCGGCAGATAGAAGTGCAAGCTGTTCGCCGCAAACTTTGTGATTTTGATGTCGCTGCCTCAATCCCCTCTATTGCTAATGACATAAAAGATATCCGCAACGATTTCAATAAAATGCACGAAGTTATAACTACAGCCTCTGGAAACGGGCAGGCACATGATATACACTCAACGCCGCCACTTTTACCTCCTGCTCCACCTTCTTCCTATGCTTCTGCTGCTGCTCTTTCTGCTACTGCCATTCGTGCCGTTGATACTCTCGCTGCATCTAACTCACGTAATGATACCAACTCCAACAACCTCTCCCTTGCTGCTTTGCGGAATCCCAATGTATACAATAAAGCGAAAAAGCAAATTTCTTCTGCTCCGTGGCCCCCTCCGCCTTCGTTGTCTGTATCTCCTAACAACCAGCCAGGGCAGTCGGACAACGATGACAATTTCATACCTGTTGTCGCTAGGAATAGAAGAGCAAAATTATCGTCCAATCTGTAAAATTTCAAGTATACTAAAACTTTTGGAAAAATTGTCCATGATAGGATTGTTTTCCAGATTTCTGGGCTCATATCGCCTTATCAGCACGGATTCATTAAGGGTAGAACCACTTCTTCAAACTTGGCCTTATTTTCAAATTTTATTTTAAAACAATTCGAGATCGGTCAACAATGCGATGTCATTTTCACCGACTTCTCGAAAGCCTTTGATAAAGTGAGTCATAAAACACTACTAGGAAAGCTGGAATCAATTGAACTTCATGCTAGCACGCTTAAGTGGCTTGCATCTTAACTTGCTGATAGGACCCAATTCGTCCGTATAAATAACACTAAATCAGATGCGATTAAAGCCACTTCAGGTGTACCACAAGGCAGCCACCTGGGACCGTTACTTTTCTTGATCTTTGTCAATGATATTCCCGACGTTTTCTTAACATCTCGTTGTCTAATGTACGCAGATGACTTGAAGATATACAGTCGCATTGGAAACACGTCCGACTGCATTAAACTTCAAGATGACTTACTCAGATTGCAAGTATGGTGTGATGCTAACTGCTTACCTCTCATCGTTGGTAAATGCCAGTATATGTCCTTCAGTAGACGTAAAGTGGCAATTGACTATCATTATAGGTTGGGCACTGCCACTCTCACTAAAATTTATGAAAAGAAAGATCTGGGGGTCATCTTTTCTTCGAAAATGTCCTTTTCTAAACATATAGATTTGATGATAACCAAGTCCAGAAATTCAAATGAATTCCGGGACCTTTTCACTCTCAAGAGCTTGTATTTTGCA